TGGTCCCCAAACATCGGTATGCACAATGTAAAAAAGGAACACTTTTCTCTTATTACTTAATGAATAAGTTGTTCTACAATGCTTTGCAAGCTCACAACTTTCACACTTTAAAACTGGACATCTAGATAGATTTAAATAAACTAGGAAACATGCTTTTCAAAGACCTAAAGGATAAATGACCTAGTCGGTTATGCCAAAGCATGACTTGACCAATAGATTGAGAAACAAAAGACCCTCTAACTTCACTACCGTTCCATTGTGAACTTCCTCCAAGCAGATAGATTTCATTTGTTTCACAGCCAGTCCCAATCACCTTCCTTGTCTCCAAGTCCTGAAAAGCACATCGATCAGGAAAAAAGGTTACTGAGCAATTCTGGTTTTTAGTAATGCTGCTAACTGAAAGTAAATTGGTGCTAAGTTTAGGAACATGCAAAACAGAAGACAGAGAAATGGCACTAGACAACTTGATGTCTCCCTTGCCAGAAATGGGAACAAGTGATCCATCAGCAATAAACACCTGTCTTTACCAGAGGATAAGTGATAGGTAGTAAATAGTGAAGGCAAACCAGTCATATGATCAGATGCATCTGAGTCTATTACCCAACAATGTTTAGTGTTACTTGGAGCTGAAGCATGATAAGTTGAGGCCCGTGTACCTGAATGAGCAAATGCTGAGGTGGGAGGAGCTGATGTTGTGACTGGCTGAGATGATGATGCTGAATTACCAACCTCCTTTTCCAACTAAGTCAAGGCAACTCGGACAACAGCTAGAGTGTCTAGTGGTGCTGCTCTTGTGCCTGATGAGGTTGCACAATCAGTAGTAACAGATGTATTAGCATTCCCCTTTTTGTTCTTGAGTTTTGTGGGAACTAGATGAGGATGTAGCTTCCAATAGGTTTCTCTGGTATGCTTAGGTTTCTTGCAATGTTCACATATTAGGTCCTTCTTGTCTTCCTTCTTCATATCTCTCTCCTTATCCCCCCAAACTTGGGTTTAGTTGCTGCCAAGGCTGATTCAAGTGGCGAATGCTGTAACATAACTTTCCTTCTACTTTCTTCACTGTGCACTAAAGAGTAAGCTTGTGATAGAGTCACACTGTCTATTGTTAGAAGTTGTTGTTTCAGAATGTCATACTCAGAATTCAAACCAGCTAGAAATTCAAATACCCTATTGGTTTCAACCTGCTTTCTGTAGGTCTGTGCATCCTTCTGGCTTTCCCACTCAATTGTTTCTAAGTGATCAATCTCATACCACAAGGATTTCAAGGTGGAAAAATAAACCGAGACTGGCTTCTCTCCTTACTTAAGGTTATTCACCTTACATTTTAGCTCATAGGCCCTAKCAACATTGAGGGGTTGGGAGTAGGTTTCTTTCATGATATCCCAAATTTCTTTAGCTGTTTTTGCCCATAAATAATTTCGGCTGATATGTGGTTKCATGGAGTTACACAGCCATGTCATAACCAAATAGTTCTCCTGAACCCATTTGGTATATATTTGGTCCTCCTTGGCTGGTTCCTTGACATCTCCTAGTAAATAGCTTAGCTTTCCTCTACCCCCAATAGCCATCATGGCTGATTGGGCCCACTCTAGGTAGTTTGACCCATCAAATTTTTACAGTGGTAATCTGAAAACTGTTCTCAGGTATGCTATCAGAACCACCAACCCCTAAATAGTTTTCCCCTTGGCTCTTAAACTCCATTCTTTGTCAAGAAAAGATTAACAAATGCCTTTTGTATCACTGAGACTGGGTAATTACACCCAGAATTTGCTATCAGCCGAACCTACTTTATCCTTCTAGGTCGGCAATCCACCCAAAAAAGATAACCTTCCAAGTACAACTTAGAGTGCAGGGCTGAGAGTGCAAGGCTGAAACTAACAGCAGCCCTAGAATTGGCGATAGTCAAGTAACTAGAATCTTGAACTTAGAACCAGTCAAAGGTCAAGAAACAAGCCAAGAACACAACCAGTTCAGCCACACCTCTTAAAGTAACCAAAAAACTATTCTTTTAATGTATCAAGAACAGTTCTGGAGGAAAAAACTTTCAGTCGAACCTTTGAAATAACCAGCAAAGGTAACCCTTTTAATAGAAAAGATTGACTTACTTCAGCAAAACTCTGGCCGCAACCTTCAAAGATAAGTCTGAACCCTAATCTTGAGGGTTCTTCCTTCTGACTCTTCCTGATCGCTGGTCATCCTCTGATGCTTCACCAACAATCTCCAAGACTCAGCCGATGATCCTTTTTGCTGGAAATTTTCCAACCCTAGAAAATTCTTATGCAGCCGGCCATGTCAGACTATCATAAGATTTCCTAGGTTGGCTCTGATACCATGTAGTCGTATGAGACTACTAACAGCCCAAGCTGTGGTGTATAATCAACAGGAAATTAAGAGGATGAGAGGAGAGAATGAGTGGAGAAAGAGAAAAGAAGAGAAGAAGATTTCAGAAAAGAAGAGGATACTTAATCTGCCTCCCCCCTCTTTCTATTTATATTAATTCTGAAGTAAGGATAAGACTGGTTACATGGCAAAATTAAAATCCTAATAAAAGACAACAATTAAAGTCCTAATAAAAGACTAACAACTAATTGTGGACTGACACTTAAATAACTAGTAGTTGTATACGAGTACAATAGAAAGAGGTGGGGACCACATCAGTGGTTTCTACAGTCACCATCAAAATATAAAATATCCAAATTGCCTCATAACCTATAAATCAGAACATGCAGAAAAAAAAGGCAAAAAATTGAAAATACAATCAAGACCACTTTGATGCTTACTTCATCTCTTAAATAGCTTTAATCTTAAATTTGATCCTCTAAATTCTTGACCTTAAATCCTAATAACAGTTATGGTTAGAATTCTAAATTCTTATTTTTGGTATTTCTTGTTATTCTAAGGTCCTTTTTTTCATTTTCCATAAGCCCCAGTTAACCAGCCTAATGTTAGCTGTTAAGATCTCATAAACCTAACTTAATTTCAGCCTTTTGCTACTAGACTTTGAAATGCACCTTTATTGCTTGATGCTAAAATCATGTCCAGACACCTTTGCACAATTTCTCATAAATTTTTCTAGAGAGTTGAAGATCACACAATTTGAATGCAATTTTAAGAGAGTTTTGGCCAAAGTAGGGACAGTATCCGTTATATTTACTTGGTTGCTATTCTAGTTTGGTTCTAAATTGTATATGTTACTTCCTGTTTTGCTTGAATCTTGTTTTTGTTGTTATTTAAGCAGCTTTAGGCATTGTCTATTTTGAGAGAGATCAATTATAGGCTTAAATCCAAGAAGCTGGGTTTTTCTTTTGGTGTACCCAAGAACATAGATGTTAGTCTTGCAAATAACATTGATTTTCTTGAACTACTATCATACTCAAGCTTGTTGCTGAGATGTATGGTCATCATTATCATCACCATCTAATCCATGCCCCAACTATATGGGGTTGACTTAATGAATTGTTTCTCCAATCCATTCTGTTCAGTGCCATAACCATTGTTAAATTACGAGTGCTTAAATCATTTCTTCCTACTTCAAACCATGTCCTTTTTGATCTTCCCCTAGCTCCTCTAGACCCTCTAGTCCCTTCAACTTGTAACAAATCACTTCTTACAGGTGTTGTAAATGGTCTTCTTTGCATATGACCAAACAATCGTAGTTTACTTTTCTCATTTATCACTTTTTGGAGCTACTCCTAGGTTAAATGACTTCATTATGTCTCAGTTCTTTCTAGTTTTTTCTTTCACTGATCCATTTCAACATTCGCATTTTTGTCACACATTTTTTGGGCATGTCTTTGACTGCCCAACACTTTGTTCCATACAACATATTTTTTTGAATTTTTTTTCTTTTAACCTAAGTGGTATTCACCTATTCTGCTCTAATTCTATGGGTGGCATCCTCCTCATTCTCTCCCTTGTTATGAACTATGGAACCAAGGTAACAAAAGAGCTCACATTGAGTTATCCCTTGGTTTGAAAGTGGAATGGTGGAGTAAAATTCTTGCTGCTAATCTTATTTAGGTATAGTGCCGATGATGATGATTTTGAAAATCACATTTCATGTTCACTTAACCAAGTCGATGAGCCCTCACCATATGCTTTCTCTTTTTAAATTGTTCATTGTTCTAAACCTATGTGAAACTTAGCTTTTGAACTTTAATATCTAATGCACCTAAGAATTTTTTGTTTTTTCAATTTTTGGCCCCTCTAGAAAAGGATGTAGTAAGTTTAACTCAAGTGTCATTTTACATCAAGTCATTTGGTGCTTTAACCTAATTTACTCATTTTTACCTCTTCTCTTGCTAGAGCATATGCTAGGTTATTTTCTATCCTTGGGAGTTCACTTGAATAACCAGTTTAGGTTAGTACAAATACCCTTCCCAAGACCCTGGATAGTTAGGGTCATGATTTTGCATTGGCCTTTTTATTTGCAAAAGTCTTCTTTGGTATTTTAAGTCTCCAAGCCATTATTCTATCCCCTGCTGATCCTCGTGTCGCAATTAGTGCCAAATGGTACCCTGATGGCATAACTATTGTGATAACTTTCCTACTTCAAGAGAGATTCCACAAGCTCTTTGTTTCTTTGAGACTTTATACAGCTTGATGGGGCAAATGTTCCAACAGGTTGTGTAAGCCCCAGTTCTGAAAACATCAGCAAGGATACACTATGGTTAAACCACTGTATCTTTTTACAACACTCTTCTCAAATGTGACAACTCCTTGGAGGTGTTAAGAGCAGCAAATTCGTAATACATGTCAACCTACCATGTCCATGGTTAGGTGTCTTTTCAGAAAAAGGGCACAGATGAAGTACTCAGATAAATGCTGGACTTCAACTTGTGCAAGAAACACAAGATAATTCTTTTGATAGGAAGTTAAAAATTTTATGAGAACATTAAGGCAAGAAGTACATCAATTATAATTGCATGTAATTTTGAATGATTATCATTTACTGGTGGTAGCTCATATTCATTCTAGTACTGATAATATATGTTCTGCAGCTGATAAGGATGCTACAATGGGCATGGGTGCTGGATGGGAACGATTTGAGTTCAACAAGGATGCCCCACTTGATGATGAGGAAATTGAAGGTTGGCTCATTCTTCTTGTGTTTAAATCCTTACTCATTCTAGAAGTTAAAAAACATTAAAACTTCCTTGTTTTGTATTTTGTCAAGAATATTGACAATTCTATCTTGGATCTACCGCAGCTGGGGTTTCTGTTTTCTACTGGTTCATTTTTCTGCCTGTGCAGTTCCTAGTAACTCTGATATACATGTGAACATTAATGTGGTAATTGGATAATCATTGTGATGTTGGTGAACTTGGCAGAGCTTTACAGAATTTCATATTGCTTTCATTCAAAGAAACAACAATTTGTTCCTAATGAAAGAAGAAAAGGACTTAATAGTTCAAAAACCCTTTATCCCTGAAGAAGTTATATTGAGAAAATTAATGATTAATAATTTTTTTATCAGCAACACAGAAAAGATTTCATTGATTAAAAGAAAAAATTGGTTACAACAAGAAGTTGTGAAAGAAACCCAGCTTTAGAAAGCTGACCCAGACCAAAGTTACAATTGAGCCCAAAACAGAGGTGTTCTTTGTACCCCTTGCTTAGCTAATCTATCTGCCAAGCTGTTGGCAGTTCTCACCCATCTCACACGAATTGACATGTCCTTAACCATTTAAATCTTTTGAGTTCATTTCTCAACTGCCATGCCACCCTCTACCTTCTACAGCCATTTTATCACAGTTTTCGATTCTCCCTCGATGATCAGTCTGTTAATACAGCTTCTTCCAGCCATCTAATGGGGGAGACCATGTGTCAACAGATTTCTGTCTTGTAGATGAAGAGGCAGCAATGACACCCCAAGCCCTGAAGAATCTGAGAACAACTTCATGTTTTTTTGCCCAGTGTGACACTCAATATTATTGTTTCAATCAAGGCTTCCTTGCTTTTTTCTCTTTCTTCAAATATTCTTGCATTTCTCTCCTCCCAACCAGTCAAAATAGTGCTGCTCTAGTACACCTCCACAGGATCTTACCCCTCCTTTTAGTGCAACTAATGCCAGTAGGGCTAAAACAAGCCATCCAGCTTGTCAGGAGAAAACCACCTGCAACCAAAGAGGGCAGCAAATCAATTCCAATCAATGATTGCTTATAGCTAATGTGTGATAGGACCTGTCGTTGCTCTAATCGGTAGAGATATTCAAGAGAGTGCTTTTAATCGCTGTGCACTAGATGACACTGTTTTTCCCTTTGTGATCTGAAAGCTTATTTTACAAAGTTCACCAGCATGTTTTTCCCTTTAATACAAAAGATTTTGGGAACCAAATAAACAAATAAATGGATGTAATCTCAGTCTTAGGAGCTGGCTAAACACACACACACACATTCGCAATAAGGTTGTACACACAACTTGAGGGGCTATTGCGGTCACTTGGTGAACAAGAAAGAAATTTAAATGCCAAAGGTTAAATCCACATGCAGTATACCCTTCCCAAGACCCTGAATGGCGGAAACTATATTGACCTTTTTTTATTACGTATTCATTATTCAATGAGAACCCTTGTTATTATTTCTATCTTTTAAAATTTCTTGGAACTTTGACTTCATGTTCATCCAATTTACAGTGGCGGACGATGATGCAGCATTGGTCAAACATATTGGCCAGAGCTTCCGGTTTTCTGCTGTGGAGGTACTATGGTTATTTATTTGGTTACTCTACATGTTAGTTTGATCAATTGGAATGTAAAGCTTGAGAAACGAGGTTCCATTTTTCTTTGAATACATATTCAGTTGTTTCTTATGCAAATTCCATATATGCAATTATAAAGGCAAGAAAGGAGGAACAAATAAAAGCTGCTCATGACGAGGCCATGTTCGGAGTATCAGCTGCTCCACCACCTGTAGTTACAGACAAGAAACCAACCAAGGACAATGATGACAAAGAGAGCAATCAAAGTGTGACTTTGACAAACCTTATAAGTGATAAGGTAAAGACATGGTTTTAGGATTTTTTTACGCTTGTTTTCTGTGGGCAACCGGATAAGAAAAGGAAACTTGTCTTGTAATAGGTGCTTGCGAAGCAACGGGGTTCTTGGAGAGATCGAGCTCGTAAAGTTACAGATGGACAGAAAAGCTGAAGGGAGTTGAGAATTGTTTGAGCACTATGATGGAGTTGATTGTCCTTGTCCACGCAAAGAAACATGATAAACATCTGTTGCTTTCTCTTGTCGGTCAGCCATCATTGTTTTCCAATTCCATCATCTTGCCAAGAAGAAATTGTTGAATCTTCTGAGACGAGGGAAGATGCGCCTACCAATGGATGCTGCAAAACGCAACTTTTCACATCGAACGTCTGAACTGAAAACGCTTTAAATGGGAATTTGGATTGCAAATGTCAATGAACAAGAGAATGAATCAAAATCCAGCCTTAGCTGGCGGTGTAGAACTGCTAATATGTGCCTGGATTTTTAGCTTTTGAGTTAAAAAAAGAGGTGATTGGTTGTGGCAAATACGGGTTGTACGAATTTTTTTAAAAAAAGAGGTATTTTTCAACTGTTTGTTTTTGTTATGTTATATCCAAATAACAATTCGAGGATCCATTTCCTCTTATTCGTGCACGTATGTCATTGTTATTAAGGCTGTGTTTGGTTGCTATGTAAATAAAATTTGCATTGATGCAAAATTATGACTTATTTTTGTTTCAAATTTTAACTTATTTTGTTTGATTGCGGTGCAAGTGAAGTAAATTAAGACATGAAGCAGAATAAAGTAAAATCCAAAATAAAAATCAAGCAAAAATTTGCATTTTTTACATTTGCACTCCCATGCATTTATACTAGTGCAAATTTGCAACCAAACACAGCGTAAATGTTGAACCACTGTAATTACCGTCTGTAAGCATTGTTGTGCTCTATATTTCTGTTTTTATTCTTAACTATAAAATATAACAAATGGGAAGACCCTGGCAATGGATGCTCTCTTCCGTCAGAACCCTGAGTTTGGCTTAGATCAGTGTAAATCCATTCAACAGTCTCTTGCAGCCTTGCATTGGGAATATCTTTTGCAAGGCTGTAAAAGCTGTTCGAACGGGCTTTGTATTGATCGAAGAACTCTAGCTCCCACATCCGGTCTGGTTTCGGACAGTTTGGATCAGGTATGCACAGTGGTGTAAGCATGTTCAACGAGCATTTGAAATTTTTTTTGATACCTGTTCCTTAAAATACTTTCACCCCACCAAAAAGATTAAAATCCACTTTTGATAATTGTTCAAATGCTTTTTTAACGTGATTAATTAGCATCTATTTGGCATTGATGTCATTGTTCCAGAAAACAATTTGATAGTTGTTCAAATGCTCCATGAAACGTTAACATGTTTGAAACAGTTTTTTCATAAAAAACAATTCTCCAAACAATGCATTAGAAATCGAAAAAATGCAATTTGAAGCAATGTTAAATTTAACATTTTCTCAGATCAGAGCTCATTACTGTCAACAAAAACATGATACGAAGCACTGGTACCCAAAAAAAATGTTGCTGTTACTCCAAAAAACGTCATACCTAACAGCTATATTTCCAAACAAAAAAAGACAGCTATACTTACAAGACAGCACCGGTACCAAAATAAAATGTTGATGACACTCCAAAAAAACGTCATACCTAACCGCTATATTTCCAAATAAAAAAAGACAGTCATATTTCCAAGTTCCAACCCACACATCAACAGCATCGATGTTCTCAATATATGGCTGAGATGTAGCGCCCCCATGTGGGGGCAGATGTGAAGTCATGTTTTGGCTAGTAGGGTCACGGACATGGTCTCGAGAAACAAGGGGCGTGCATGTCCTTTCTGCCTTTGCCATACCAGGGGCGAATCATGATATCGCGATTGAATTTGATTGGTGGGATGGAGTATAAGAGGGAGTGGGGTAGGTCTGTCAAAAAGCCCTCCTTATCGTTGGTTGCGAGCCGTCCGCTACTTTCACCGCCGTCCGTCCGCTCTCGTTTCTTCCGTCCTGCAGCAGCGTCCAATGGCTTCCTCTGTCAATCGATGGTTGAGGCCTGAGGTTTTTTCATTTCTCGCATTTTAACCTTTTTCTTTACTCTCATTCTTGTGTAGATTATTTCGTTTTTTTTTTTTCATTGGTATTCTGGGCTAGGTTCTTCCAAATCTAGTTTTGGGTTCTATCTGTCGATCTCTCCATAGATGTATTTTCTTTTTGCTTGTGAAGGTTTATCCTTTGTTCGCCGCGGTTGGAGTTGCTGTAGGAATTTGCGGATTTCAGTTGGTGCGCAATATCTGCATCAACCCTGAAGTCAGGTCAGCTACTACCAAACCCCATTTCTTTGTTCTTTCATGCATGCTTGCTTCTGTGTATCCTTTTTATTGATGGATCTATAGCCTCTCTGAAAATCTATTTTAATTGAACGATGATAGATAAAAAAAACTACCTAGATTTACCACTGTACGGGATTTTTATTTATCAGCTCAGTCTATTTAAAGTGGTGTACTACCTAAACAATCCCCAACCCCCAAAGAAGGGGGTGGGTGGGAAATCAGATCTAGATGCTCCGACCTTTTTTCATCGGGCAATGGATTGGCTCAACTTCCGGAGTATATGTAACCCTTTTGACTTCTGCCCCATCTACACTAAATTTTCTGCACGGTCTTTAATTTTCAACCTAATTTTGTTTACTTGGATTCTTACATCTCTGAATAAATTCTTTTCTTTCCATTCTAAATATTATGGGAATCAAATAAAACTATGATTCATTATTAAACTTTGATGGCACCTTTGCGAAATTTGGAGTTGCATTTTTTTTCCTTATTTTATTCCATTTAATATATTCCGATCTTTGATTTGAGCTGTTGAAGCATATTATCAGCTTAGGTTTCCTATGGTAATGACATGATATTTTGGTTCAAGTAAAATCACGCAAATCGTACTCTATAATACACCTTCGAAGTGTCTTAACTGGATTTTAGAAACTAGAACCTTTGTCTCGGTAACTCGTAACACTGTAATTTCAGTTTTCTGCCAGACCTTGGTATCCAATATACTAGACTTTGGTTTCTCAAAGTATTGTTTTAAGGCACTACCAAAGGAGTCTTTTTGTACCCAATCCTACATTCCTACTAAATCAAAATCAAAATAAAATGATAACGAAGTTCACAAAGCATCATTAAGTTATATGATAAAACTGGGGCATGTTATCAAAAGAAATTCCATCAAATTGCAGCACAAAATATTATTAATGTATACTCAGGACAGTGGAAAGCGTTTGATACTTGATATGGCTAAAACTAAAGTTCACTTCCCACAAGATTCTTGGGAAATGTTTCTTTTGAACTTATATAATGTTTTTAGTTTTTACATGGAAATTGTAATTTTAACTTGTACATGTGTTCTGTATTCTCTTTCCCTTTGGCTCTGGAATCAGGGTTAGCAAGGAAACCAGAACTGCAGGAGTGTTGGAGAACTTTGCAGAAGGAGAGAAATATGCTGAGCACACTCTCAGGAAGTTTGTTCGCAACAGGACCCCTGAGATCATGCCTTCCATTAACAATTTCTTTACCAACCAAAAATGAAGGCAGCCAATTTAATAAGTGATTTTTACGTCTTGTAGAACTTTTATTTTGATCTATTATTGTGTTTGTGATTGTCATTGACATTGATATCACTCTATGGGTGTTAATCAAAACTCAAACTGAACTGTTTTGATAACATTACCTAAATGAGGATGATGCACGAAACTGAATGAATCATCGTCATTTGTTAATAAAATAAGATGGATACAGATATCGCCATCTCCCTTATTTTCTTCCCAGAGTATCAATTGTATTATGCGCCTTTTGTGCCTGTGTTCATAAATGTGGTTGTTAATTTTTTTCAGACTGAAATATTCCAGCTATTATTTATTTCCTTTTTAGAGCAAAAGCCGCTTTTATAACTCCTTGGGTTTTTGACTCTTGATCCAAATGCCAAGGGTTTTTTTACTTCCTGTATCAAGGAGAACTGGAGTGGAGAAACAACAATGGTGTCAAGCGATAGCGATGGTAAATTGATAGGTGTTTTTTAAGACCATAAGGCTACGTTTGGTTTGATAGTTGTTTTTTTCAAACCAAACACAGACTAAAAGGACTTGCAATCATCGTCGTCAATTCATTAATATAATAGTTTGTCCCAACTATATGGGTCGGTCCATCTACATCTACATGAATATCATTTTAATATAATGCCGGCACTTGCTTTGGCTTCACGTCTGGACTATCATAAAATAGAATATTTAGTATGCTTATTTTCATCCCAACCTATCTCTCTCGCGAGTTAGCGCGTACCAATGATTTAAAAACCAACTTGGAGGTCGGTTCAACCATCCGAATTGAACAGGTGTAAATATAGGTACAAGCATATTATCTGAGTTTCTTTTGAGAAGCAGCTTCATACATTACTATTTGCTAATAACTGTCCAGTAGCAGATTATTTTATATTTAATCTATTTTTTTAAATCAGTTTTTTAATTATGTAATTGTTAAAAAAAAAGCTAAAAATTGCAATCTGAAGGCGCCTTTGCCTTTCAAGACGCAGATCTCAAGCATTCAAATACAAAGTTATGGCCTCTCTAAATTTGCACCTTGAGTCTGACAGTGATGAGTCAAATAGGTCATCGGTTCAATCATCAGGTTCGTACAGTTTTTTACCACAGATTTTAAACAAATCAAACTGAACCCAAAATTGTGGCTAAGTGGCAATGCAGGTGGTTCATCCATCTGGCTTCACGACCGGTTCAAAAACACTGGCATGCCTATTTAAGGGTCCGTTTGATTTTTAGTCATAATCAAAATTGGAATCAGAATGAAAATCCTCTAAAGTCGGAATCTGAATGATCTATTCCTACAGTATTTTTCAGACAAGTGTGAGAATGGAAATTAGAATCAACAGAAATAAGATTTCATTTCCGAAGGGAGGGGCAAGGAATGACCATTCCCTCAAATGGGGGAATGCCATTCTAGCAGGAATGAGAATGAGATTCCAATTCCACCCAATCAAACATTTGGAATCGGAATAACCAATTCCAGACTCCTATTCCTGCAAACCAAACGGGACCTAAGTTTTCTTTTTGCTAAAAACATGTCGTTCAACTAGTCCATACCATCACTCATGAAAAAGGATGTGGTAAAACAGGAAGGAAAAGATGAAGCATGATTTAGGATCATTTGAAATCTGATGGGCTAATACCACTTCGACGCTGTCTTCCCATACTTGCAATGTTTTTGTTGCGCATGATCGTTGTGATTCTCAAAGCGAAGGACTATTCACAAATGACAAATCATAATACTCAAATGCTTCTCTTCTAAAGGTTGTGGTTGGCTGAGGATTCACAAATCACAAAGTAATGCCGTGAAGAAGCTTCACATGCTTGATGAGGCGATTACAGATTGTATACAGGTATACATCGCGCCAAAATGGTTTTGGATGAGGTACCGTCCAAGTTGTCAAGGTTGTTCCACATTGGAACCCACAACTGGGTTTGAAATCTGTCCTTGTTACGTCAACACCTTCGCCCTCAATGCTCCTACAGACATACAATAGCATGCATAACAGTTAAAAATGAAATTTATCAAAAAAAAACAAATAAAAAAGAAAGAAGAGGGAAAATTGGGGAAAAAAAGAACAAGTTAAAGTTAGTTTGATGAGAAAAAGGAAAAGTATTTGCCATATAATATGAAGAAAAGACGACATCTCATCAAAACTTGTTTTGTTTTAATGATCAATTTAGATCACTTGGATAAAATTCAAAAAGCATGATCTGTAAATCTATTCATAAGCACCATAAATGTTGTCATCATTTTTTGTATATCAAACTTTATTAAATTGAAGAAAAATTACAAAAGAGAAACACCATTTCTGTAACGTTTAAAATGAACACGTACATGACTGGACAAGCAAAAATAAAAATGGAATGAACAGATCAAGATGCCAGCAAGTTCTCAGTCATAAATAACTGCTGGTTGTTGAACTTGGTCCTCAAGCTTCAAAGGCTTTTTCTCTACAAGTCTCAGTGTAGGGCTACAGAACGCAGAAGCACTATTGTATACCACTTGAAATTCATACAAATGATTTAGAAGGTTTCAAACATGTAATTGCATGATTTTTTCGAAAAATCAATTGATTTTTCCATAAAGCTCGTCTTGTACTTCAGGAATAAGGAGTCAAGCACCAAGCAATTGCCTCTGCAGTTTGTATGTTTCACAATCTGTTGAGCAGTATGATCTGACATGTGGCATACTAGCATATTTTTATCATTAGTCCTTGATTTCAGTGAAACCAGGCATTAGAGGAAATACCTGTTTTTGGAATTTTCTTATGGAGGGAAATGCTCAACATCCATGGAAGGTAAACCAGACTGGGCTGCTCTCATTCCACGTAGAAGGCTCTTTGCTGTTTCCTTCTCCTGCATCGTGGGCATAGAAAGGAACAATTAATAAAGCTGAACGGAAACATTTTGGACATCTAAAAACTTGTCAAATAGTGAGATAACTTACTGGGCCTGTATAATCCAGAAGTCTGGTACAGTAAACTTCTGCTTCCTCGAACCTCTTTTGTGCTTTGCAATGTGTAGCAAGAAATAACAAAGCTTCTACCATATTTGGCCCCTCCCGGTCCTCATCTTCCATCCTCTCCAAATCCTTTTTGTAGTAAAAAGCTGCCTCTTCAGAACGCCCAAGTTCATTATGCAGCTTTGCCAGTTGGTGCAATGCAATTGCTTCTCTGTCATTACAATTTGCTGCCCTTTTGTAACATTTGATCGCCTCCTCAAGCATGTGAAGCTGCTCGGCTTCATAGCACTGTGCCATGGCAATCCACAATCGGGAATCATTTGGTTGTAAATATACTGACTTCTGGAAGTAGTACAGTGCATAGAAGGGCATACACATCATCTCATATGCTTGTCCCAACCCATACCAGGCCCGATAGTCACATGGATCAATATCTACAGCCCGTCGATAGGCATCAATAGCAGCCGGGATGTTCTTCATCTCAACATACTCATGACCCATCAGAGTCCATGCTGACAAGTAGTTCTTGTTGAGTTTCAGTGCCCTTCTAAAATATACAACAGATTTCTCATGTTGTCCCTTCAAACTGTAATAATTTCCAATAATACAACAAGACTCAGGTTGGTATTTATCAGTCAAGAATACCCTGTGGGCAAGGTAACTCAGAGCTGAAAAGCACTCCTTTGCATAAAGTACATTTGAGTACATATCCATATCCTCCACTCTATATGGATCGTTTCTTAGAAGTTCTTCAAATATAACTTCAACCTGCTCAAACTCCCTTAAACTGTACTGGGCTTTTGCTATTTGAGCCTGTATATAATTGCTGAAAGTAAAAGTTCCTTGCAGATATTCATATTTTGATAAGGATTCACTGTGCATCCTGAGTCCCTGGTATGCACTGGCAAGAAAGAAGTCCTTCATCCAATGATTCTTGAGATTAAGAGTGTTTAAGATATCAATGGTGGTGCACAAAGACTGCAGCTCTGACCAGGCACTCCAATTCCAAGGATAGCTGTTAACAGATTCCACAAGAACGTTACGAGAGAGATCCTCATGACCGTTCTCCTTAAGCACAAGCCCATATAAGTAAAGGCCAAAAGGATCGATGTTGCCACTCTTGCGGTATGCTGACAACTCCCTCTCAAGAGAAACCAGTTCATGGTTTACAGCATCGCTCTTACCTAAAGGTCCGTCAAGTTCTATCATCTCTTCCTCTTTCCGCTTTTCACCAGCCTTCATGAGAAAGAAGAAAAGGCTAAATTCACGATACTTATTTTAAATACTAATATGCTTATAATGTTCCACATTTTTATAAGCATTTGATTACATAACCATTAAAGTAGACACCTGATAAGCTATAAGTTAAGAGGCACCAACACTTAACCATAATGTTGATGAATATGGTGTTTCACTGGCTTCTAGTTATTCTTGAACTAACAATGTAGCTCTTGTTGAAGAGAACCATTTATGAGCTGTGATTTGTGAACAGTGTAATTTCACAGGTAGAAAACAACTTCTGTTAACAGGTTAACCTTGAGAATTTTAGTTTCTTTTACCAGGGTTAAAGAGTACACTCCCAGCAGAGGAGAAAGTGGATGAAATGAAAACATAAAATTGGCAGTTTCATAACTTACTATGTTCAATCAAATGGCATCAGATCAAACAGCATGTTTCCAGAAGAAATGATAGGATAGTATCTCTTGTTTGATTGGATAGTAGGGATGAGGTGGGTTGAGGCTGCTCCTTTCCAAACCCAACCTTTTGACATGTAGCATTGAACCATTTGTCAAAAAAAAGGCTTTGGTTGAATGTAGGTATACTACTTGTGGGGTGAGGTGGGTTGGATTGGGGCCGGATGTCCACAATCTTTAGTCGGCACTGGGCGGATTTGGGTTGTTGTGGTTGACACCCCTATTGGATAGTATCTCGCCATGATATCCTGTGGAAATGGCCACCTTGGACTTGGAGGATTTTAATGTGCAAATGCTGGTTCTTTCATGCTCCAGCTAGACAAGGGGTGACTTGAAATCAAATCTTATGGGCACAGTTGTAAGATTTTGATAACACATTGAGAGGACAGATAGGAAGGTTTGTCACTCATTGACTGATTGACCTTTCTTTAATGTACTCTCTTATATCTTTGTAACATTAATGAAAAGCTGTGGTTATTGATAAGAAATGCTGGTTCTTTGATTGTCTTTTCCACTGTTACATCATGTCTTCTCTGGATAGCTTTCAACTTTAGAACAAGTTAATGGTTATTGGAATTCAGCCATTACTCCACAAAGAAGCATTTCCTTTCATGGAAAAAGAAAAGTACATCAATAACATTGAAGTGTGATTAGCAGAAGAAAAGGAATTGATGTAAAAGAACTCTTCCATCAAGCACAACAACTTTTCTTTCCCAAATCCCAATGAATACCCATTGATTATCTGACTGACCATACACGAAATCAACAAGAACGGTTGCTACCTTGGAGAATCCGTTTAAACATAGTAAGAATTTGGGAGAGGCTGGAAGGAGGAGAAAAAGTGCACTTGGTGAGTTGGGAACAAGTCTGTCTCCCCAAATCTGAAGGGGGGTTAGGTACAAGGAAGCTGAAACATTTTAACTCTGCCCTCCTAAGTAAATGGATTTGGAGATTTGCTGTAGAATCTGATGCTTGGTGGAGATCTTTCATTGCCAGCAAATATGGTGTGAGTTGGGGCAATTGGAGATTTAGGTACCCCCCTCCTAACTGGGGTAACTCTATGTGGAAAGGGATAATGAAGCACTTTCCAGATTTGGCCAGGGGGATCTCCGTCAAGGCTGGTAATGGTAATAGGATCAAATTCTGGAAGGACCCTTGGTGCTCAGATGTTCCTCTTGCTGAGTCCTTCCCACTCCTCTTCCAGTGTGCTTCTGACCAAGTGGCCTCAGTTGCTGAGTGCTATAGTATTTCTGGTGGTTCAGTTCTTTGGACTCCCTCTTTCCGAAGAAATCTCTTTCATTGGGAGGTGGATGAGGCAATGAACCTCTTGACCTATCTCCAGTATCAAGAGTTGGATTATAGTTTAGAGGATAAGTGGCATTGGAAGTGGAATTCTGATGGGATATTTTCAGTTAAATTTTTGGCTGCTATCCTTGGTAGGAGGGGTGTTCCTGATTTCCTAGTTCAGAAAGTGTGGAATCCCATCAGTCCAACTAAAGCCAGTTTCCTTGTTTGGACTATGGCTCTTAATAAATGCCTTTCCAAGGAGAACCTTGTGAGCAGGGGATTTCAGATTTTGGACCTGTCTTGCAGCTTATGTGGGTGCAGTGCTGAATCTACTGATCATTTGTGTATACACTGCCCGTTCTCTGCTCAGTTGTGGAACCACTTCCTCAACTCCTTGAAGGTTTGTTGGGTGATGCCGAGGTCGGTAAAAGAGCTGTTATGCTGCTGGCATATCTTGGGAATAGAAGGGTGTTCAGTAACAAGATGATTCCAAGTGCTGTAATTTGGTGTATCTGGACCGAGAAGAATAGAAGGGTGTTCAGTAACAAGTTTCTAAGTCTGGAGGACTTAACCCAGAAGTTAGTGGGCAAGCTGATTTCTTGGTTATCTGTGGCGGCAGATTTTAGAAACTGTAATGTGTCAGATGTATTATTTTCTTTGTCTTGATGGCTTGTGTAATTGCTGAATAGATCAGTCAGCCTGTTTTGGGACTGATATCAGCCTCTTGTGTGTATTTCATTCTCAATAAATATTACTTTACCTTTTCCAAAGAAAAAAAAACATAGTAAGAATTTTAAGACCATTAACCATACGAATATGGGATAACTGCTTGATGAGTAGAGATTCAACTGACCATTGTGCAATGGAAAAACTCTGATACTTTGCATGCACTGTCCCATGCCAACATTCACTTCATTAAATGTTTCACATTTCTTAAGTGATGTAACATATAAGTTTTTGAATAGAAAGAAATAAAGAAATCATCAAAATGTGAAAGTTCTTCAGTAACCATGATGATACCTTTGAACCCACATAATTGATAATCCATCCAGCAAAATATTTCATATACGTTGGTATTAAGGTACTTGACATCCTCATTCCCCCAAAATCAGTTTACAGTTCTCCAATATACGGATATATTATTTCTTAGGGTAACAGATCGCACTCACAGAAATCAACAGATAATGACAACTTCAATCTAAATGTTTGGCCTCCAAAGTTCCATTCTAGCATCTCAGCATCATAGTTCCTTCCAAACAAAACCAATCCTGTTGATTCTAGAGCTCCCAATTGTTTCTCCAATGGCCATTATTTGCTGATTTGAGTCAGTAATGCACATAGAACATACCGAAACTCAAAGTTATCTTTTCTTTTTAATAGAACTCCAATTCGCAAACGAACTATTAAAATCTCACCCCAGAAACAGCTCAAAAAATGCGACCAACCCCCAAATCAAGAAACGGAGAAAAAAGTGCAACTCGAAATATTAGCCATAAAAGAAATGATGAAGGAACATTAACGAATTTAAAGATGAAACAAACCAGAAAAAGGGCGTAACAGCGCAAAAATACTGCTTTCTTTCCCGTCTGATCTCGAAGCGCATGAGCAGCCCTCCGGTACTCCCGACAATCGAAGTAGGACTTAGCAAGAAGATAACAATCGCTATCCACAATCTCATCTTCCTCGGGGACTGGAGTGGTGGTATAGGAAACGCCGGCAGCGGGTGTTGAAGGGATATCGTTCGTACGGAACCTCCTGCGAATGCTGGAACTCCCGCGCTGAAATCTGGTGTGAGAAGGTGTGAACTTTGCCGGGTCTTGTTCGATTCCCACTAGTTGCTCTGATGCCCTGCAATCATTAATCAAGCCAAACCCCAATAATGAAGAAGAAAAATGTGAATATTCGCATCGATTTTAAATTTCAGGAAACAAAAAAAAAGGAACTTGATGATTAAAAATTTGAGATGGATGAACGTGATCTGGAATCAAAACGAAGCGGGATGCAAAAGATTCAAAAAGTACAGATAATGTGGTAGATAGTGATATAGGATTGTAGGGTTTAGGGTATATCTGCGCACCATTTTGAAGCGGAGTAGAGGCAACGATCGCTAAGCTGGCGGATTGCAGTTCGAAGCTCGGTCCTGCAACTATCCTTCGAACCCATTAGCTATCCCCCCTCACTCTCTTCCTCCGAAATTCTCGCGCTCTCGGTTATAACCATAAACCCCAAATTTTAACGTGGAAGTCGCTAACATGCACCGGGAGTAATTGGCCCATCTCACGCTATGACGTTAGTCAATAGTCATCATGCTTGGTTTCTTTGGGCCTTTGGGGCGTTGTCGTGTTGAAGACCTGGGCTGGGGGCCCAAGAGGCCGGATCCAAAACCAACCCCACTCTATGGCATTAACGTGCAAAATATTAGGTTTTTCGTAGGGCCCAGTTTGAAAAGAGTACAAATGCAAATACATATTATATATTATAGAGAGAGAGAGTGTGTGTGTAAATACAAATATCTAAGATAAAAACCTTGTATTTTGTATTTTTAAACCTATATTTGCACTCGTTTCAAATTGAGAATATCTTATCAGCACCCATGAAAGAAAGTATAAGTAATTAAAGCATGGTGTGTTAATGGATTTAAATTTTGTATTTTATTTTTATTGTTAATAAATATATTTTTGTTTAATATGATAAGCATATAACATTAAAGATATGCACAATTTTTTTTTGTATTTTCTATAATCTTTTATTTCTATTTATTTTAAGTTTTATTATATAATTATTACATCATATGTTGATCTATTTGACTTGAAATAAAAAAGAATCTTATTTTTTGGGAAATTTTAAAATTCTTATTCCATTTCGATACTCAATTGTAAAAACAAATTCTTTTTAATCTTCATCACTTATGTTTATTTAATATGACAAAGTTATAGTATTTGAAATATGTCAAAAGTTTCTATGTTTCTATTCTTGTAATCCTAGATATATATAATTTCTTTATTATTTAATTATGACATAACATTTTTATTATAAAGAAGTGACCTAGTATTGTATTGGGTGTATATTCACTATGCACCAACTAGAATGACTGTATGTTCTCCACTCCATTAATTTTTACAATAACATTGAGTTATTTTCCTTCTCTTTCAGCATTATTTAATGACCCATATGAAGAAGCCTCTATTATTTGTTTTCTTTTGGTTTTTATTTTTTGTTTAGTATAAATTTCAAATGGGATCTAAATTCTTAATTGTGCAATGTATCTACCAATTAATTAACTGGATGGCTGTGCTACTTTGCTTATAATCAAAACATGGAACTGAAGTATTTCTCTGTCTACTTTAATCTCTCTTCCATTCAAGAAATGGGGAGTAAGCTGACTACATGGCTTGTTCTACTTGCTTCAAACCTAGTACCAATTGGGTACATTGGCCATTGGGCAAGCTGGGCTTTGTGTCCCAACTCCAAACAACAATTTTAATCATTTGAATGTATAGTTTCTCATCTAAAAATTGAATCATCCATCGCTAGAATGTTAACAAAAATTATATTAGGAATAAGCTACAAGTGAGCTCAACTGACAACCTCGACTCAGTTATAACCTCAAATTATGAAATTCTAAGGTGTGGCACCATTTTCATTTTCGTTAACTTCATCTAGATGAGGTTAAAAGCTTGGGTTGTTGGACAGTATTATGTCTGTGTTCAGTCGATTATGCGGTCTTTGGTTTGATAGAAAAAGTAAGATAGAAACAGGAAGTTGAGTATTTCAAACAGACTTATGTAACATGTCAGCTTTATACACGTGGGGTGGAGCAGCTCGAGCAATTGTAGAATGACGGGCTGCTTTATGATTTATGATTGTCCTCGTATCGTATCCTCCTGTTCCCGTGTTCTCTAGCCCGTAGAGAAGTCAGAGTGAAATCTTGCAATTTGAACTGATAACAGACTATTGGTAAATATAGTTGTCGACTGTAAGAAGAGAAGGAAGAAAGAAGAAGAAGTAGAGAAGAGGAATACGAGTTACGAGAGAGAGAGAGAGCTTGGGTGTTACTGTTTATATGATAAATTTGAAATTACAGCCACGTTCTTATAAGGGCGTTCAAATACAAAAAAATGAAAAGACAACAATACCCTTAAAGTCAAATGCACATTCTCAATAATCTATGTCAATTGGTAAACAACATTGATTATTAGAGACTTAGGTTGGTGGTTTGTGAATACGGATACAATTTTTATTTATTTTTTTATTTGAAGAATGAAAATGAGCAATATAAGATACTTGTCAGTCTGAAAAGAATTCATTTTTAGAAAAAAAGTGTTTGATTCATAACAATATTTTCTCATTCTACCTATTTTTTTTTACTCATTCTTTTCCATTTTAGAATTTCATCTTGAGTAAGAATGAGAAAGAATGAGGATTGAACCAAACATGACCTTAGATGCCCGGGACAAAGCTCCTATCTCCCATAGCACCTGTTTATGATTGAAAAGAACACTTTCAAGAATGTCATAGCAAAGGAATACCATGTTGAGCTTCTTGGTTTGGAGTTCAGTGACAATATAACTATTGAATTAAATACGGATCTAATAAAAAGATTCATTCTAATTTAAATGGTTTCAAGGTAGGGATGATCATGGACCGGGTTTTTACATGGTAGCAATGACATTTAGGGGGCATTCTTTTTCAGGATTTTGAGAGGGGAAAAGTTGGTCAATAGAAATCAAGAAACCCATGTTCTTTTTTCAGATATATGGGGAGACCCATCTCCTAGGTGGGTAAATAACTTCCCCACTTGAGGGAAAGTTGCCAACACTTGAATGGGACAAAAGTACCCCTTTTAATATTGGATTTTTATGACTAAAATTGTCATTGCCTTATTTATAAGGGAAATAAAAGAACATGGGTAAATGCACTTACCCGAGTAAGTCTTTCCTAGGAAACACTTACCTGAGTAAACGCGTTTAACTAGGTAAATAACTTACCAAAAAGCAAACGGAGCCTTAGGGCTACCTGGCCCAGCCTGGCTTGCACCTTGGGCTTGATAATATATGCCTAGGCATTTGGGTATCTTGCCATAAAATTATATTGTAAAATTAAGGGAAATTGTCTAAAACTCACCATGAGTTTTTAACATTTCTCTTAAACTCACCACAACTTTTCAAAATGTCTAAAACTCACCATGTCAATAAGTTTTTATTTTTCAAAACTCACCTTCTGTTAGTGCACCGTTAATGCTTCTTAACAGAGGTGACCATGTCAACATAAATAACAATTTTCATGACCAAATTACCCTTGAATGGTGAGTTAGAGGAAAAGTGGTCTTTTTCAGTTTTCAATTTTCTTTTTTTTTTTTGCATTTTTAGTGTTTTTTTACATTTTTCTATTTTCTACAATCTATAAATTTTCCTGTACTTTCGTTATTTATTTGCAATTTCTGTGTTTTTCTATAATTTTTTGTGTTTTTTCTACAATTTTTATTTTCTGATTTTTTTTTTCAATTTCTATATTTTCTATAATTTGAAAATGATTTTTTATTTTTTTTTTCAATTTCTATATTTTTTTATATTTTTGTAATTCCTGTGTTTTTATGTATTTTATATTTGGAAATATTTTTTTGAACATTTTCCTTTTTCATGTTTAAATATTAAAATAGTAATATATTAACACCCATTAATTTATTTTGTATATACTTTATATTTTTCTATGAAGGTTAAAATAGTAATATATTAACACCCATTAGTCTGTTTAACGTCAAGTTAGTGACATGGTGAGATTTAGACATTTTGAAAAGTTGTGGTGAGTTTAAGAGAGAAATGCTGAAAACTCATGGTGAGTTTTAGACAATTTCCCTAAAATTAAAATTTCAATTTCAATTTATAATAATATTACAGAAAATCAACAACTAAGCCTTATCCTAATTATATAGGCTTAATCATGTTTCATCATTCCATTCTTTTTTTTAATGTCAAAACATATATTGATATGGCAATAAATTTACATGTATACCATAAATAAATAGTATAGGGCCAAGAAAATCCCAAGCCGGGCTGGGCCTGGAAGGACATCATGGACTATTTTCAGATGAGCAGGAGGGAGACCTATGGCCTTTGGATGGAAATAACTACCCAATGCCTTCCCTCGCATCATGCAGGAATGAGTCCATACACGAGAGTCATTTGATTGACATTGATATGCTGAATACACATCTGCGTCCCACAGCACATCCGGATCTGGGAACATTTCCCGATGATATCTTTATCATCTCCCGTACATACAAGGTCGGGATGTGCTGTGGGGTGTAGATGTGAACCTGATATGTTTTCCCAGCTTTATTCCCCGTTCCCTTTAATGGATTTTATGACAACGTTAAAGCTGTAGTAGGCTGCGAGTTATTTCTTATTTGTATAAATAGTGAGGCCTTGTCAAAAGATTGCTAAGAGATGATGATGCTCCATGGCACGCATAAACAACTTTCTAGTTAAAGGCTAATGGCCTATTCTCAAACCAAAATCCGATGGAATTGTTAAACAAGCTTTATAGGATCTAGGTCAGCTCTGCCTAGCGTTATCATCCTGATATGTGTCGATTCTGTCCACAGACACCATCGATCTCAATATGTTGCCTGGGAGATGACAAACAAAACAAGCTCAGTCGTTTGGTCTTGAATGATCTTTTCAGCCCTGAACAACATTCGCATCACCTGTACCCAGTTCTGTACACGTAATCTGAATTTCTAAATTTGCTGCAGATTCCAAATCCCTGCAGATTAAACACGAAGGAGACCAAAGAAGAAAATGAAAATTTTTATTACTTTGAACTCAAAAATAACATTTAAGGTGGGGTAAAAACTTTGTTCTTTAACAACTATACAAGGATTAAAGTAATAAACATAATGAACAAAATAAAAAGGTAGGCTCCAGCTTGTAGCAAGGAGACACTGCTATGGACCAAATTTCTTCTCTTATTACAGAATTATCTCCTCTTGTACACTGACGTTGAGTGTCTTATTTGGGAGAACAATGCTGTTAACGACTACAACTTCATCTTCAACAGTCACAGCTTCTCCTGAAAACAGGAACACCAGGGTTCATATATTGTTAGGATCCCATATACAATAGAATCTGATCTCCTTGAAAGAAAAATGAATAAAATAAAGAAGATGAGCACCTAATATGGTAATCCCAAGTTTGGCATTGCAATTTCCTTCACCCTGAGCCAATTGACAGTCTAGGTCAATTACTATGAACATCAATGAAAATGTAAAAAGGAGGTCTTCTAGCATATCATCACATCATTCGTTTGAATCACTACTCATACTTTTCAAGATAAAGATCAGATTGTAATAGTATTCCTCTCCCATCTTTATGGAAGTTATATAGAGTAGGAAAATAACAGCCCAACCATTTTTTTAGTTGTATACCATAGCACATTTAACAGTTTACAGCCTTGCCAGTTTCTAAACCACCACTTGGAAGGCTGATGATGTAAATTAACTGAAAACAAACTAACAATTTATTAGTTGTTTTTTATTGGGAGGGGGAGGGGGGGGGAATCTTGCCTGAACACGTGACCATGTACCAATAGATGACTTCCACCCAACAATTGAATGCATAACAACTGCATTTTCCTGTCAGAAGATGGCAAACCATGTCTGCTTAAGACTTAAATAAAAGAATTCATTGATGACTTTCATATCTCTAAGCTGATGTCATACCTTGATTTCAACATCATCCAGGATGATGCAATTGATCAATCTTGCCCCAGCTGCTATGCGAGCATTTGCAGAAATTGAGACACTGGGACCAATCTGTTTAAACAGATCCATTTTAAATATCCATGTGCTGTGATGCAATTCTCGCTGTAGTTGAAAGAAAAAACAAAAGGAAATACCTTTGCAGTTGGATGAACTTTTGCTGATGGATGAATATAAACATTGCCGATAATGGTAGCACTTTTGGTGCCATTTCCACTTGCCAGAAGATGAGGAGAGGTATGTCGGAATTGTGAAAGATACAAGGCAGAACATTTCAAAGACATCCTGAAAGTTGAATTATAAATTCAAGTGAGTCATTCCATGGTACAAAGACAAAGGGCAAGAAAGGAGAAAAAAATGGAGAACTGAGAAATACTGCTCTACCCTGGAGTCTTGATCTGTTCCCAAAAGTCCATAGTTTCATATATGTATAGCTGCTTCTTCCCAGCAAGAGGTGATAGGATGTCTTGATCCAACCTTACAAAATCTGTAGGAAGAGTCCTGCAATGGAGCTTATTTCAGAGTGATAGTCTAAAGGAAGCTATGCTTCAATCAACATTTGAAATTCAATAGACCTGAAATATGGATATTTGCAATAACTGAAAAACATTGATTTGTCTGAACCAAAACATCATGTTAGACCTTATGGGTGAGAAAGTAAATCCTTTCCTAGAGAAAAACAACCCTAGCATTCAATGCCATAAAAGAATGACCGAGTGTTTCCTAATTAACTATGCTCTACCAAGACCTTGAGAAAAGCAAAAATTGACTACATATGAAAGAGGTATAAGAGTTAGCAGTCAGCTGTAAGTGCCATCCCATACATGGGGTAAGCTACTCAAATCCTATCCTGCCATTGTGCTATACCAAGAACCATGTTTTTTTTTCTGATGAATATATCAAGAACCATGTTTTTTGTCAACTATTTGAGGTTGGCTACCCTGGGATATTAAAAGATGCTTGTTACTGCATTATTCCTTGCCACTGGTTTCATTCTGTTGCACTCAAATCAGGATTTTTAAAAAGCAAGTAGTTTCTAATAAATTAATAAAAAAATACAGCATAAAGGGATTAGGTCTGAATATATCTACAAATAAAATCAAGAATAGATGAATGAATTGATGCTGGTTTAGGCCAATGGTAGAAGAATTAGAATTTGGGAGGATAATTGGTTTGGGACAGGGGGATAATGTGGGATTTGCCTCTAGTAACTTAACCATCAGCCAGTATTTCAAATTCATGGGGTGAAAGTAGTTTGGTTCCTTATTTTGCAGGAGGCTACTTTTAGAGTGTGAATCATTGAATGCAAAATTTTCTTAGTTGCCTTGAAGAACTTCGTTTGATGCCAACTAATTCAGATTAGAGACTACAGAAAAAATGTTTAGATGGCTGTTTCATCGTTAAGTCCTTTTATGCAGTCTCCATAAGTATAGGAATCTTATGTATGAAAGGTGTGAGGTGACCTGGTTTTCATGGTTGGTCTCCCTTGATGGCATATAATAGGTGTTTCCATATGGCAAGTTAATTTGTCATGTCTCATCAGTTTGAGGAGGATGCCAGCCATCTTTTCATCTCTTGTAGGGTGGCTATTCTGTGTGGTCTTTCTTTGTGCTTTTCAGGAATTGTAGATTTCAGACTTTCTTGTCTTATGACTTCTCTACTTGGGCTTCTTTTAGATAGAGACAGAAAAACAAAAAAAAAAGGGGGGGGGGGGCGGAATCCCATTTCCAGTGCATTACATAATTTGGTGGGAGAGGAAAAGGGGCATTTTTTAGGGCAAATCAAAAGGTTTTCATAGTCATAGGTTATGCATGGACATCAGCATTCTTCTCTTGGATTCTAGACCACCCAGAATATGAGGATTTGCAAAGAGTCTCCTTTGGTGGCAATTTCTGGTCTAGGTTAGATTTAATAGAGGATGTATAGCTGTGTGACATACTGACATTGTATGGTATCCATTTCGAGAGACACCTTTGTTGTTTTTTTTTTTCAAGAAAGTTATCTCAACACCTCAACACTCTTCCTTTGTTGTACATTTTCTTCCTTTTTTGAAGAATTTTTACTTTACAGCAAGGATGGTTGTGTCTATGTTACACAACCCCTGAAAGAATATTTTATCAATACCCTACTAATAGGGGAAAGACAATAAGACCCCTAGAAAAAAAATACAATGACCAGAAAGTAGAAAACGGGTTAAAAATACAAATACTCCTATATATCAACAAGAAATACCCTACTAAATGCATAATGTAATCCCAAAAGGCTAAAAACTAAAAAGTAAAAGAATAAAAAGTTTTATGCTTGGAAGGAATAAATGTGCCAAAAATGCCATACTTTGTTACTGACTGAATAGCTTCAAAGCTGGACAGACGCCGCAGATTAGCTGCAAACAACAATGCAATGTTCAGATATCTACAATGTGGAATCGTTATATCTATTTTATAATGAAAGCATTAATCCATGGAAGATGAGCATTACAAATGCCAACAGACACACCCTCAGATGCTTCTCCTCAAAGATTCTTTTCTTTAGGCATGTAGCTAGCGCTTTACATAGAAAATAAAATATTTTATAAAAACAAAAAAAACAAAAGCTAGCCACGTGGTCAGATTGTGGATTCCACCATTCCCAATTCTCTATAAATTTATCTATATAAATCCATGTCACCATTCTTCTAAAATTTCTCCATTTAAACAACCTATAAAAGTTAGTTTGCTAATTCTAATTTAAATCAAACTTAACCTACAAGGGAAAATTTTAAATCACTTTGTAGTTTTATACTTTCTACATGAATCAACACCAAAACCCTTCTAAATTTCTCCACTTAAATATAATATGAAAAATCAAATTTGGCTACAAAAAATATTAGATCAAACTATATATATATATATATATATATATATAGATGAGTTTCTCTTCTAGATCTCTGATACCTTTCCACTACCAAATAAACAGCCCCCAAATTTACATATCACTGGATAAAACATATACTCATCCCCATGAAAATAAAATTAAAAAGTATAAAAATGATATTTACGAAGGAAGAACTTTTTGGATGAATTAGTGAAGTGAGAATGTAATAAAATGTTGAAACCAAAAAAACTTGTTTTATTTTCTATATCTTCTTTCCACCTTGGTGCTTTAGAAAACTCAAACTAAAGGCATGATATATCTACAACCTTGCATGTTAATATATATATACCTCTATCGCTTCTTTGTATGGAGATGTTCTGGATGGCAGTAAAAATATCTGGTGTGAATATGTATACACCACAGTTTATTCGATCACTTACCTGCAAAAAATTGGTAACAGAAGAAAACCCTACTCAGAGGGGTGATATATGAGTAAGAATTAACAATTTAAAGTCCAATTCTCCATAGCCAAATGCACAGACCACAAGTTACAATGAACATGGTTAAGTACCTAGGCAACTTAGGGAAGGAACAGAACTTCTAGGACTGTTTATGGGTTGGAAGGAACCAATGGTCCAGTTTGGTTATACTAGCCCAGGATTTTTTTTTTCCAGAGATCTGACTATAAATAGATTGGAACAAGATCCACCCTGGATAATGTGTTTCATTTCAAAAATTTATCCTTTTTCAAATTTAAAACTAGGGCTCCGTTTGAATAAGCTTTTGCTTTTGAGGTTTGGGCTATAAGAAACAAAAATGAGCCAAAAAGTTTATAAAGAAAATGGAGAGAGTTGCTTTTAGAAAACATAAAAGCACTTTTAAGCGCCAAAGCAGAAAACCTAAAATCGGGGCCTCAAGAGCACAAATCCTGAACCTTATTCAAATGCTACCTAAATTATCTTCAGTATATAAATATGAAACCTAACTATTTAACTAAGCCTTATCCAAACTGGTTGAGGATGACATACAGAAAAGTTTGCCCTAGTGACATCCTTGGTAATCTAGAACCAGAGCCAATGTGATGTCATATGACTAGGGGCCTAAGTCTCATAACCAAAGCATTAGCCTTTCACATTTAAATGGATGAGGGCTAAATCAACCTTGTCCTAATGATGATCTGTTGGTACCCAATCTTTCTAGGTGGCCTCTCACCCTCCTAGGTGACACTGTTCCTTGGGTTACCACATTACAGAGGAACCTGATATTCCATAACCTTTGACACTCTTCTTTCCCTCTTTTTCAATTTATTTGTGTGTTATTGCTTATAAAGGGAGAATGAAATAACACATGTATTGTACAGCATGTACAGTCTATTTGCGAAGTGTAGCTGCAGTCTACACTTGCTGATTCCTCCTTAGTACACACTCCAAGGTATGCAGTCTACACATAGCTGCACTCCGTAGTACACACTCCAAGGTATGCAACATGTAACTTGTTATTAGAAGCCTAGATGATGTTTGACATTGGTGATGATTCCTCCTTGCTGATTATCCAGAAACTGGTGGTTTTTGAAAATTCACCAAAAATTGTTGTTTGGTATCATTTATGCCATGTAAGCAGTTTGTTTGGTACTGATTCTCAAGGGTGATTATTTTTCCTTGGAATTATCCTTTTCTAGGAGACATATCCGATGCCATGTCATCCTTCAAAAATAGAAATTACCTAAAAATCGGGGAATCACTGAAAATGGTGATCCCTCAAGATGCTCCAATTTCAGGAATCGTTTTTCTGCCGATTTCCCAAAAATGACGAAAATTGACCAACCAAACAGATTGAAAATCACCAATTCTTCTTTATCCCATGTGGCGCCAATGTGGTGCCGATTTTTGGGAAATCGACATCGATGCCAAACATCACCCTAATGTTTCATGCATCAAACATTAATATTTAATAACTTGGTACATAATGCAAGTAGCAAAGCCGTAAAAAACAAATGCTAAATGAATCACAATAGGATAACTCTAGCTGATTATCTGCTTTTACACATACAAAGGTCTCAGGTTTCTCTGTGTAATGCAACAACTCATTGGTCATGGGATCAGCAACCAACTCCCCAAACTGGTTTGCTGATTCAGCAGAAACCTGCATAAAAGAGCATAGTGATATCTGAGAATGGTGAAGGACAAGGAAATGCAGAAAAGGGTGATTTTCTTACTTTATACTTTTCAAAAGCAAGAATTGATGGATGCATTAGCCAACCTTGATTACTAAGATTGTTCCCATCCCTCCATATCTCCTATGAGCCGCTGCACATATGAAGGCCAATAGCCAGCAGTTAAAATTCGAAGAAGCCAATCATAAGTTTGGAAAGAGGAAATTGCCATCAAACTAATCAACGGCTTTTGAGCTACAGATTCATACAGCACAGCACAGCACAGACAATACAAAGTAAGAAAAGTTGGCTTCAGGAAATATCAAAGTGAGAAAGAAGGATAGTTACCAAGCATGCCTGGAAGTGGAAAAGTGCAACAAACATCACAGTTCAGCAAAAATATATGTGACTGCAACAGAAAGAAATGGGGTCAGAAGAGTTCAGAAGAAACTCAAATATTCTAAGTTACCAGGAAAATACAGGATAGAGAGAAACGAGGAGCATAAGATACAGACAGGGCTGTCTTCCATGATCAGATCCCTGAAGTTGTAAAGTCCACCTGCTGAACCATGTGGCTTGTCTTCTTTCAAGTATCTGAGGGAGCAAATACAACGACAACGATGAGGAAACGTGTAAGATCTTAAAATTTAAACAGTGTTATTTTTCTTTCACCACAACAATATTAGACATAAGAACACATCACAACTAACCTAGAGTAAGGTGTGAGTCAACTTACCTTACAGGGACTTTCAGCTCATTAGAGATTGAGGAGACATACAATGCGAATTCCCGCTCGTCATAGAAACCAATGAGATAAATATGAGCCAAGTTTGGGATCTACAGGAGTCCACAGGGATCACAGTTACATTGCGGAATAACAAAAAAGACGCAATGTGATTTCTAAAAGCGTAAAGTTCTACTGAGGATTTGAGAGTGTACCGCTTTGCAAGCCGAAATCGGATGGTGAACCATTGGCTGTCCGGCCAAGGGGAAAAGCGGCTTGGCGATATTCAAAGAGAGAGGCCGAAAGCGAGTACCTGCAAAGTACGAACATAATTAACATGAAAGAAGGTTTTCCAATTATTGAATCCAAAGATCATAACTTTTAATGAATGAAAAAAAATTCTGTAGAATTTGAACCAATTTCATACCTTTTGTCGGACCACCAACCATGATCACAGCAACAACCCTCTCTTCCGAGCTCCTCATCTTGAAGGTAAAAAGAAATCTAGATCTCTAATTCTGTAGCTCCAGTCGTTTTAAATTGCAACTCCTTGTATGAGAAACCAGAGAGTTTAAAACGAATCAGAAGAGAACTCCTTTCTTCATACTTGTCTCAGAGTCAGATACTGAAATACAAAGTATGGCCGTAAGTCACTAACATAATAAAACCTTATATTCTACAAGCTCGGACACCAATAAAAAATGCTACAATTGCAGCGACAAATATGCGAGAGAGAGAGAGAGAGAGAGAGAGTAAAAAAGGGATTTACTGTGATGTCTTGGACAATAATGAGCTTTCGAGTGTTGGTGGAGGTGGTAGCGGAGCAATGCTCGGCACTCGCTTGCGATATGTACGCAAAGCACGGTGACGGACGAGACTTTGCAGGCGGATGCACATGCTTTGTCGCCCTTCCTCTGCCTCTTTCTTCTTCCTTGATGCTGCAGAGTATCCAAACCCGATCATCCGAAATTGAATTCGGTCCATTTAGGGTGATCTGTCATCCGTCAACAATTTGATAGAATATATGGATCCACCCGTTTCCGATCCGACATATTCCGTTGTGCTTTTATTAAAATTTTCATATAAATAAAAAACAAAAATCATTTTTAGTTTAATTTTTCAGTATCCGATTATAATTCAAATTTGTTTCGAATACGACATAAATCCAATAAATAAAATCGGAATCAAATTTTGAATCTATCTACCCAATTCGATCCATTTTATAGTAACGGAGATTTTGGTTGGGTGGTGATGACTGATGGGGCCCTACCTCCGCTTCACGGTCACTTCAGATCATTCTCATACAACCATGTTAATCTTATCTCCAGCGGGAGTTTCGGTTTATTTAGTAAGGTCCAACTAACGTTTTATTAAAGAATAAAGACGTCTAAGTATTTATCAAATTAATTAAGGCGAAAATGAACGAAAAATCATTATGTCATTGGAATATCCAATGGGCAGCCAGCATATTTTTTTGACTGATGAGGATAATCCTGATTGGATCGGACACGCAACCTAAAGCTTCATCAACGTGGATCTACATCCACTGGACACTGCGAGACCGGATCTGCTTCTCACAACTGGCGCCTCACATGTGCTTCACACGCACATCCTATCATGCATTGAATCGGAATTCTTCCCAAAAAAAGGGTCCAGCTGACAGGGGCTGGTTGTAACTTGTAAGTTGAAACAGATCCGATCCGACAGAATCTCCAAGCCAACACGAACTTTGGGAGAGGGTATACGATTACTGATTAAATCGGAATTCTTCCCTACGATTAGAAAATTATGGGCTTTTACTAGTTTATTTGGTTGTGAGGTCAAAGAGGAATAGAACTGTTCATGGACCGAGTAGCCTGATGGGCTGGCCCGGCCCCCGGATGGGCTTGAGCATGCGTTTTAGCCCGCGGGTTTGACCTCGGGCCTAAAAGCCCGAGTCCGATTATTTTATGGCCGGGCTCGGGATTTGTTAAAAAAAGCTTGGCCCAAGCCAGACCCAGCCCGACTTTTATATAAGTTAAACCCTAAATCCCTAAACTGCTTAACCCTAACCCTAAATTCTTAAAACCTTTCTTTTCATTCTCCTTTCTCACTCTCACTCTCAGAAGCGGCTCTCTCCCTCTCAACTCTCAGAACCTGCGAACCCAGCTGCACCTGCGAACTCAGGCATCGGCGGCTGGTGCCACCAGAACTAGTTGTCTCTCTCTTCAGCGGTGATCTCTCTCTCTCTCTCTCTCTCCAACTGGCACAATTTTCATCTTCTTTCTTCTCATTTTCAGTTCTCTCTCTTCTTAGAACTAGGTCTTCTATCTTCTCAGTTCTTTCTCCAGCCGGTGCCACCAAAACATAGGCGCACCGTTTTCATTATGCGAACTCAGGCACCAACGTTTAGTGCCACTAGATCTAGATCGTCTCTCTCTCTTTGGCCAGCACTGTTGTCATCTTCTATCTTCTCACTTTCTCGGTTTCTATTCTCACTCTCAAACTCTTAGGAATCGGCAATCTCAACAGGCACCATTCTCTCAATCTCAAAGGGCATCGTCGCTTAGACTCCTAAGTCGGGCTTCGGGCTTGGGCTTGGGCTTTTTATGATGGCCAGGCTCGGGCCTGAAAATTTTATGTTAATGAAGAGCAAAAGCCCGACCCAAGCCCAATTCGGCCCATGAATAGATCTAGTGAGGAACATATCCCAATTCCTTACCAATACCGACCTAACACCATCTTACCGATGAGTCTGATATGCTTCTCATTCTCATAGAGCACTCCTAATACCGTATATGTATGTTCCCTATTATTTATTGGAGATGTTTTTAATACGCGGTGAGGTCAGTGTGATGAGTGCTCTGTGAGTAATATATCCAATTCCTTACCAATATTGTGGTCAGACGTAGGAGTGACAGGGTGAGCACTATTCGGTTAAAATCAAAAATTTTGATTTTGGTTTTTTGATTTTTTGTTAAATCGATTTGGTTATTTTGGTTTTTGATTAATTCGGTTTTTAGAATTAAAATTTTGGTTAATCAAATTAATTGAACTTTTTATTGTTATATGTAATATACAATATATAATATATAATATGTAACATATAATATATAATATATTAATATATAATATACTGAAATTTGATTTCATAATATATTTTATAATATATATTATATATTATATGCTACAATATATATAATAGAGTATATATTATTAAAATTTGGTTTTAATCGAAATAACCAAAAACTGAATCAAATATTTTAGTTTTTCTAAATTTTGGTTATAGTTTTTATTTTTTTAATTCAATATTTAAAATTTCGATTTATTCAATTTGGTTTTTAACCGAATAAACCAAATGCTCACCCTTAATCAGACCACCTCTTGATTTGAGTTAAATGTTCAAAATGTAATTGGGTGGTTGCATGTCCCTTGCTCAATAGGAGCCTGAGTATTAAATAGGATTAGTTAAATGGATATTCATCGGTCATAAAATATACGAGTTGAGATCTCCTGCTAACAAAACGCGTTCCAACCCTATACCAACTTCATTTTCATCATAAAAAGAGGACCCATCATGATAGGAATGTATTTTGTTCGGGGGATGATCTGGACTCAAAATGTATATGGGCAACAACCATTTATGATTTGTGGGCTTCGAATAAACCGTGAGGCCCACAGCCCACAACATAACCATCACGTTCTGCTAAATCGGAATTACCAAGTGTTGCCCTAAAATTATCCAACACAAACCGGAAAAGTAATAAGTAGGGCCTAATCCTATTTGTCATGATAGCGATAGTAACATGGGTACTGGATTGGATCCGAGCGGACAACTCTCCTCTCCCAAATCCCAATTAGCAAATTAAGATACAATAATAATAGAACAGGTATATGGGGTTCTTCATGCTAGCCATATGGACCTTGTAACGGGTATTATATGTCTAATCTAAAAATCCATTCATAAATGGTTCTTTACTGACCCGCCGACCCGGGAACTGTCTCCATGTTGCGAAACTTGCCCATCTCTTTTTGGATCGATTAGCAATTGCATCGCATCGCATTGAACACAGTATTCCAACCCCACCCGGTGGAACCACTGTCCCCTCCGGATCAGATTGGGTGTAGGAGTAGGACCAAACGTCACACAAGGGAAATTGATGTTTAATTAGGGTGGCCCACTAATTCAACAGTTCTTACATAAATAATCAAACGGGCCAAGTTGATGTAGGGCCCATTTGTTTATACTCATCGTTCTCACTGTGTTCCCCCTCCCCCTTTACCGTATAAGATATATGTGGCTGAAGTTGAACATGTGATTTGGCAGTCCCAATCTTTTAAGACAGCTTATTTCCTTCACAAAATAGCAACAGGATTACAGGAGAAGAGAAATCAATCGCATTTCCAATAGATCCCCACTTTCCCAGAAAGGCCCATTCTGTTAATGTACTATGAGGAACCAAATTCTTGTCCAGTCCACAACTATAAGCCCAGTAGATCAATCACTTATTGCCAAGCTTGGGCCTAAGCTTTTTCTATCTACATCTTTGCCCCGGCCCCCGTGAGACCCCACAATCACGTCTAACTATGCAATTGACAATAACCCCAACCCAGGACTTGAGAAAGGTCCCATTGGCCTTGACCCACATATTGTATTCCTTTGGAACCATTATTCTAATTTTATTTTTAAATGATAAGCACAAACAAAAGTAGGTGAAACTTAATAGCTACTAACATGTGCTTCCAACTCAAATAATTAATTATTTTATTTATTGACAGATAGAAGCGAAAAACAAAAAGTAAATCAAACGAAACTTCTCTCTCTCTCTTTGGTATTAAACCAAATGAATTAAAATAATAAAATGGTCCATCTACATTAAAGTCTAGTATTAGTATATTAAGGGTTGAATCCCCATCCTCTTTCATATTCAATTTTAGCTTGGCAGAAAAGAATAAGGCTCGAGTAATTTGGGGTCAATCTCCATTCGAGTTAGAATTATTAGCTTGAATTTTATTCGGCTCAAATCCTCATATGTTTTATCTCGGCTTAATTTAAAAACCACAGAAAAAGAAAAAAAGCATTGTTTCTCAAAAAAATTTAAAAAAAAAGAAAAGGAAAAAGGGTCAAAATTGTCTGCTCTCACCAAACTAAAAAGAATACCTTGCTTATTTAACATTTAAAATCATAAAATATACAAAAAATAAATAATCTGTTTAATTCAAAACTACTAAAAATATATAAACTACTATTTGAGATCGGTTCAAGGCTCAATTTGGACAAAGTTAGGTAGAGCTTTTCATGACACATTTGTAATATCATATATTAACCTTTTAATTTGCATAACCAAACAAACAAGGAAGCTGAAAGGAAACTACACTAGAATGTAGTTCCAAGGGAAGTGGACCACAACCTATGGCTGAAAAGATTAATGTATTACACTCAAAAGCATGTAACCACAAAGAGACAAAGACGAGCTTAAGAACACCATAAAGATTCTAGATGACTACATAATGTAGGCTTTCGCATCAATATTGGGTTCGATCAAGGTTTTTAAAATCGAATTGGACAACGAACTGTTCAGGGTCTGGTTCTTGGGTCCAACGGTTCGATCGTTTGAATTGAACAGATAACCTATTCTAACAAAAAAAATAAAAAATAAAAAAATAATAAAAAATGGCAAAAAACTGTTGGATGGTTCAAACAGTTCGAACGGTTCAACCGCCTAGATCAACGATTTATTGACTAAATCAATGATTTTTGGCCAAAAAACGGTTCTGGGGTAAAACGGTGATCGATTCTTAATTTTTCTGGTCCAATCATCCAATCCGGTCCAGTTTTGAAAACAATGGATTCGATAGTTGAATCACCTATTCATTTCTTATTTACTTTTTTTCTCTTTTATGATAAAGGTGAACACTCCAAAACCCAAATTGCAAAACTGTTTTTCTACCAAAAAAAAAATTTGCAAAACAGTTCTGGTGATTAGAAAAACCATTTATGTTGTGACTTTTTTGATGTTACAAGGTAGACATCAGTCTCAAGAACTAGGTCCTAGTCCTGTTCCAAAAGCATTGGGACCAGAATCTAGGTGAGGCCCAGCTCAATCTATACTCATCAGGCGGGTAGAGCCCAATTAATTGTCTAATAACCATAGAGCCAAAATGATAAAGATTCAAAATTTAGGGTGTTTTTGATTTGCGGGAATAGGTGCCTGGACTTGGAATGGGAATGGGTCAACTGTATGATTGTTCAGAATGAGATTTCCATTCCTATTCTAGGTGGAATGAGATTCCCTATATGGGAGAATTGACGGAATGCAATTCCCATTCCCCCTCTTTATTTTTTTTTTTTGACAAAATAACCCCCATTTAGTATTTGACATTTTGACCAAGGGCCTGAACTTTTACAGGCCTTCCTCCATCTAATGCCAGCCGTTGATGATCATCATCTATGGTGACGTAAGACTGGCATGCTGTTGGGAATAAACCCAATATTTTCTTTGTGAAAATGATCTTAACCACAAATGCTAAGCATGCAGCAGTGATAAAGCAAATAACAAATACAGAGCAAGCAACAGTAGTAAACACCAAGTTTTACGTGGAAAACCTCTCAATGTGATGGTAAAAATTATGGGACCAAAGTCTAAAACATCCACTATCAGCAATAATAATGGGGTACAATGTTTTTCTATCTAGTTACAACTAGATGATGAACATCAAGAAAACTCTTGGATACCAATATCAAAAACCATCATTAAAATGGATAACAAACAAGTAATTTATCACCAAAGGTGAAAGCACAACAATGAAAGCAAGAGGAGATACTGAAAACGGATTTGTTTTATTCGTTTCAACCCTTATAACTCTTGTTCTTCCCAAAAGTCTTATTCTCTAAACCCCTTTTCTGTTCTCTAATATTTTCTAGAGAATTGCTAGAGTTTTAAAGAGAATAGAGAGAATGAAGTGAGCTCTCTCCAATTCATTGGTTAGCCAAGGATGTGTTGCAAACCAATGCAAAAATTCTCGACTTTCTAATTCCTTTTTTTTTTTTGTCTTTTCTTTCCTCTACCTTTATTTGTGGGTTCTACCTCATAAGGAGGGAACCCCAATACATGCCTCCATCCAATGTTTTACAGGCTTTTCCCCACTCTTCCTCTTCTTTCTCCCCTCTTCTCTCTTCTTCCCCTTTGTCATTGCCACTGCTACTAATACTATTAGTAGCAGCAGCTTCTTCTCCGTCCTTTCTTCTTTCTTTCAATCTTCCTTCTCCCCCTTTCCTCCACCTCCTCCTCCTCCTCCTTCTAACAGGGACAAAATTGAAAATTTTGGCTGATTCTCTGCTTTCTAATTGAACCAAAAAGTAACAATCGGAATCTGACTCTAATTCCCAATTGAATGAAACATACATTAGGAGTTGGTGATTCCGATTCAATTCCAATCCCAATCCTGAACACGAACCAAACAAACCCTTAGACAACATCACGGACTGGGAAATATTGGAATATGGTGGAAATATGTCTCGGTGAGTCCTTTATAAATAATATCAGGATAAAGCCTTGGTGGTTGCCTGGTTGGTGCTAAAGGATGATTTCAAGGTTTAGACATTCGCTTAGGTTCATTTCATCTATTGTTTGTTTTTATTTAGAATGTTACAAACAACGACAAAATACCTTGGGTGTTGATTGGGTGACGCCGTGACACACCGTGCTGTTCTTGAAATTACTTCTCAACTGCAAAAATCACTAACCTTCCACAAATGCTCACTGCTTTGAACCACCGTCAAGTAAAAATCATTCATATTGACGAATACCCCATTAGAGTTTAGAGGTTGGGTAAGATCTCTTTGAAGTTTGAACAATCACATTAACCAACAAATGCTCCATGGCCGGTTGGCCCATGACACCCTGCCCCTCTAGAAAGAACTGACCTATTGTAAAAAGAGCCTACTTATGCGCCATCAGAGTTACAGAATGGTGATGACTGATGCCCCAAGGCTAGTTTTGTTGATTGTACCCTTTGAGTTCTTGGTTCTTACAGTTTTCTTACTGTATTTTCATTTTACTTACAGGCAAAACAAATACGAGCTGCTTAATGGGCCAAGCTCTCAAGTTTAAATGACTAAATAAAACAACTCATAACACAACTCCAGAAATACACCCGGTATCTAAAATTGAACGACATTGGGATGATGATGAATAAATTGTGTTTAATGTTTACAACTACGACAGGTGCGGGGACTACTTTAATCCTAAACCACCTTCCTGAAGCACATTACTGGAACTTGTGAAATTTATGTACAACAAAGAATAACTATCTTCCTCCCTCAAGTAAAACAGAGATAAACGACCACCTTGGAAATCCACATTACATTCAACTGGCAGATGATGCAACCATATCCCAACAGAAGCATATGAATAGTATCTGAAAGAAATAAAGAATTCCAGCTGCAATTTATCACTAGCTACTTGGGGGATCTGGTCTTATAGTCAGTATTTCCAATGGTTTACTGTAAATATCATTGAATGGGAGATTGAATTCTGTGTCTAAATCATAGTTATCCATGTATACAGTTTTTGATAACATACGAGAATTCCTCCAGTCCAAATGTTGCTCTTGCTCCGAACTTCTATCAGAGAAGTTGTCATGATGGTAAGTTCCAGTGTGATGGTCAAAATTAGGAGGCTCAAGAAAACTAGTCTGGGCCCCCCCTGAATTTGGACCACTTCGGGCCCACCAATGGTTCTCAGTGGGATGTTCTGGATGACCCCCATCACTATGCTGAAACACACTTTCTCGAAAGAAAGGAGCTGATGAGCTGGAAGCACCTAGATGACTTTGTAATCGATCTTCCAAGGGATATCTCCAATTTTCTTCTAAACTTGGATCCATTTGGGCAGTGGAATTGTGAAATGGCATCCAAATGTCCTCTTTGGCAACTTCAGGGTGTAGATTTGAATTATTGGCTGCACAAGGAGGTCGAGATGTGTAGTACCAATCAAGCAAATACGGATGATCTTTTTGTTCTGCTCTCACCAGACATACAGAACCTAATTGATTGCCTGTTCTAGGAAGGCCACCCACGTTACTGTAGAGCCCATCCCTTGAGAAAAATCTGTGCATGTCAGTTCGACCTCTTGGATTTGGGCTACACTGCAATATCCTGGGAGGTGATTGTCCCTGTAGAATTCCCTGGCCTTGTAATTTCTTCTCTCGAAAACTGTGAACAGTAGCAAGGAATTGCTTTCCCTGAGTATTTGGTTCCCAGGTAGGATAGGTGCTCTGGAAACTGCAGGGAAATAATAGAAAGAAATTGAGAAACAGGGTGGGGTAGATCAAAAATAAGGACCACAATACAGATGAATGGTAGCAAGATAAGAAACAAAAAGAAACTGTGAAAAAATCAGGTGTTTAAGATCAATTATGTCTTCTCTTCTTGATAAAACTATGGTATATGAAGATTCACATTGTGAACAGAGACTAGAGAAGAAATCAAGGTTTATTAGAGCACTCCTGGAAATCATGGACAAATACCTTAAGAATGATTTCTCCATTTTCCCCTGGGAGCTCCTTTTGGTGTGGGGTGCATCATGTGGTGAACCATAGTTGCTATTTCCATGGCTTTCAAAGTCAAAGGTACTAAAACTGCATCCAGAATCATGAAACCCACTTAAATTAAAACTCATCAAGATTAACAGACTTAAGTAGACTATTGTGCATTATCTCAGCCACATTATAGTAGAAACTCATAAACTAATCAGTGCCAACCAAAGATGACTTGAAAATATTATATAACAATAATAACCTGCACACATGACCTACACCACCAACATCCACTGTGAAATCTGAGATGAACTGCAGAATGTCATCCACACGCTGCATAATGGACAAAATTTTATCAGGTCAGCAGCTGTTGTATTCTAGAAAAGAAAATTAGACATGAGTTGGTTGAAGCAAACAATGTGATACCTGTGGTACAATGAATAGGAGCAAGTAGGGGGTGAGGAAAATGGATGCCATCTCCTCCAGCAACATCATTCCAGTGTACTGCGTTACTCAAGCAATATGACAGCATTAGCACTAAAATGGTACAAAATTTTTTATGAATGCAGTAGAATCTAAAAAAGAATTGAGATTGATATCCATGTGACAATACTTTGCAAGTTAACCAGAAGCATTACCAGCAGCATGCAACATTAAAGTCAGTCAACACTGGGGTTCATCATTCTGTTATGGGCCCGCGAATAGGATCTCGTCACGGGTCGGTCCACAGGGAAAACCTCCTGTTTTCCCTTGTTCCTCCCTTTTCTTGAAAAACCTATCTTGCCGCTCTAAAGGTGATTTGTTCAAGAGATCACCAACTCTCCTTTGCTCTCTTTCTTGACTGAAATTTTCGATGATTTTATTCAATATTCTCAGCTCCTTAAATAGGAGATTACAAGAGATAAGAGTCCTACTTTTAG